ACTGTCGCAGCAAGTCCTTCAATCGATATACTGTACGTATATATATTTTTTAGCGAACTTTATTCACTCCAATAACCTCGCTTGAATGCGACATTTAAAATATGATTTTGGTATTCCGAAAATATATCGCGAGATTTAAACGACCGTGGGCAATTACGGATCGACGAATGCGCGCGTTCTGCAACGGGCGAACAGGCACTTGTTTATTTCGCCGAGAAATGACGTCAAAAAGCGTCGCGTGACGCGCGCGGTATGGCGAGAGCGCAGGCGACACGTGCGAGGAAGTGGACCAAATGCAGCGGTGTAATCATTTTCCCGCGACGATCGTCGGCGTAAAATTTTCGAAGAGTCGAAGTTTCGGATTCTTTCGAAGCTTCGAATCTTCGAAATTGTCAAAAGTGACAATCTTAGAACGTGAGGACGCGAAAGATTGCAAGAATTAAAGTCCAAGGGCTGAAATATTATAACGTACTATCAGAAAATTAACTACGTATATAAACCATTAATCCTATACCGACGATCAATTCTCCTTTCGAGCCGAGCGCGACGTACAGCGTACGCGCGCGAGAGCGCGGAACTTGGCACGAGCATTATTCTATTCTCCCTACAATGCGCTCAAGTCGCTATTCGAGACCGCGCCGATTGCCAATTGTTTCTCCTTTTCAGGAAATATTCAGCTATTCAGTGTCTCTAGCCTGTACGAGGTCAAGGGTCGTCGACCCCGTGTCCAGAAAGCTCCTGTTACGTACGTGTTACTGGTTAGACGCGCTGGTCAGCGCGACGGGTCATTATGTTAACTGGCAATCACGGTAATGCTGTCATCAGCATCCGTACTCTTACGGCAATAACTATAATGCAGCCATTGCGGGCACTCCCGCGTAATCCGGGTATCATGTAGGTCCGAGTTATCATTGATCACTACCGGGTATTCGAACGCGTTACTTATACGTTAATTTTTACGAGGAATCGACTGCGCGCGAATGTAGAAAAAAAACCTTAACGGTATCAACTTGGTGGTCAAAAGTCCACTTCAATATTTTAATTGTCATTTAATTAAAGACGGTAAATGCTAAAATAGTTTTTATGCGAGATAATCCTGCCTTTGTGAGCTTCGATAATCCGACTGTGAGCTCGAAAATCTAAGCTCCTGACATAAAGACGACATTAGCTCACTTGACTTCAATGAACGTACAAGCATTACGCGCATTATCCTCAAGTAGAAGTCGCGATTGCGGTCACCAATCGCAATATACAATAATAAAGATACATGCACACATCAGCGAAGGGACTCGGATCGGCGATGCGACGTCCGCGCTTCTCGCTCGATGCACGCCACGTCCGCGGCTTCCCCGTCGCCGTCTCATTATCACTCGCGTTGCATCCTGCCGAGTTGGTATAACCATAGGCGAGTCGCGTAACTGTTCTCCTTTCGCGGGTGCCAGGGGCTGCGGGCAAGAAAAATACTGTTATTCGTTCGCCATTAGACCGGCCGGTGACGGACGTTGGCGGACTCTTTGACCGGGTCGACGTGTACGGCATAAATAGGCGCGCTCGTGACAACGCCGGTTAATTAACTCGAGACACCTGTAATTAGCGTTGGATTGCGGCCAGTCCGATTTGACGGAGACATAATAATGAACGGGTCCTCGCGAACGAGATCCTCGCGCGCGAAAAATTGATTTTCAAAAAATTATCCTACCCAAATTGTCGGGCAATTATTATCAAGCCGTTTTTGCGACGCAGTTTAAAATGTTTTCAAAGTTTCGAAGCCTTGAAATTGCCAAAAATAACAGCCTTACTAAAAATGCGTTATCGCGATATGCATAATTACGATTAGACGCTCCATTTTTATAATCATTATTGCTACCAATGTTAGTAATAATAATTATATATATATTTATATGAGTATTTATATATCTATATAAATACATAGTTGGCATAAAAAATGACTGTACGTTATAGCTAAATTATAGTAATTGCATTTTTTTCTCTCAGTGTCAACTATCTAAAGATAACATTATTCACCGGAAAAATTACGCTGCTAATAATTAGGTATAATATAATTACCATCTATTAATGTAGAACGGTCAATCGATGAGCAGCCGCGATAACAGCGTAAAATCAGTAATCATGCTCGCCTCGATGATGCATAATTACGCGTTTTCGCGGCTTGACACGACCTCGAGAGCGGCTTATCTGTCGTAATGTCTTCTGTGTTTAAAAATTATCCCCCGAGCTCTTACCGCTGGCTCTTCCGAAAGGAGGTTAATACGACTCCCGTGATGTAACCAGCATTAACGAGCGAAACGGTTTCATGCCCGGCCACGAGGAGATATTCGCGAGAGCGCAAATTGGACGATGAGGCCCGCGCGCACTCGAGATAAATAAATACCATGGGGGGCGGATCGCGAGATATGCGGGTATCGTGGAAATCAGCCGAGTACAGTCGTCTCTCGAACAAACTCTCGCACGAGCCTTTATACTTTTTTTTTTTACACCGTGTTCCCCTCGGTCGTTCGATGAAAGAGGCACTCGTCAAAATCGACCCGTCTCGCGAGATGGAAACTCAAACGAGAACTGGGCTCCACTGTGGCGGTATTGAGTGCGGGTAATTATTTATTCTTGATCAGTACGAAATTACTCGCTGACAAGGATTCAAGTGGTACTATTCGTCACGATGTCAATTGCGAGCCGATTATATGGTGGGATTTTATTTTCCGGAACGAGTTCGCCGGTGGCCTCGGTGTCGCGTTCGCAGACACCGCGGCTTTTTCCGGCCTGGCTGATACTCGTTTACATCTCGCGTTTACATCTCGCCTGTCGGCAGTGTACACGTGGTCACTGTTTCGCGCGTGCCACGGTGTAAACGCGCTGTCACGGCTTGAGCCCGTCGGGCTGATCGAGTGTTCGATCTTCCTTCAATTGGAAAATAGATCAATAAAATCGAAGTGCCACGTATTATGGGTGTATTGATCTGGGATTATGGAGTTCTACTTCGTCATATCTAACGCCAATTTAATCATTTAGATGTGAATGGAGTGGATATCGACGCCATTGATAAAAAGTAATTGCAAGATCGCAAGAGATTGTAATTCTCTTGAGAAGAACTATTCTCATAATAATAAATCTTATTTTACTAGTTATCAGTAGAATCAGCAGTATTTGGAAAGTATTTAAAATAATATTTATTGGAATGATTCTTTTTGAGATATACTGAAATAGAACGGAAAAATTATTGTAATTGAAAATCTCTAGAGATGTTGCGATTTCTTTTTTCTATTGATATACCGTTGATATAAAGTTGCGTATCTTATAAATATACATATATATATATATATATATATATATATATATATATATATATACGACGAAATAATTGCCCGACACGCTATAATCTCGTGAAACGCTAACTATAACGGCGCTCCCCGTTGTAATAGGCTCCCGTAAAATGCAGAGAGACTCGAGACTTTTTGCGTATCCGTGGCACGCTGCTTTCTTAGCGCGCGCGTCCCCACAGTAACAAATTCGACTTGCCTCCCTTCTTCTCAACCCTTCTTTTTTTCTCACGCGAGAACGAGGTACAGCACAGCGTTCGCGCGCGCGTTCCAAAAATACATCGCGCCGGAATATGAAACCAGAAGTAACCAGTGGCAAGGGCCCCGGCCCACGGCATCTGGCACGACCGACAAAATATACTTAATAACATAGCGCGCGTGCACGCCGCGTACACGCGGCACGCACGCACGTACGATAAGCCCGCTCCTGGATAATCTCCGCGAGGATCACGCGTGCGATCGGTGGCGACAGTAACTGTTTGGTTCACATCTTGCTTAACGTGTTAACAATCTTTTTAAATGTACACAATGTCCCCGAAAAAAATTCTCAATCTTAATTTTAACGGCAGATTATCGATGCATTAGATATCCTCTATTTTCCTTGCAATTTCACTCTTTCAGAAACTTTACTCGTAATAGGTATTTTCATTATCGAGATATTGATTCGTTTTCGAAATTAAGGCCGGATTCTTCCCGCGACTAACTTATGTACAACATCGAAACGTAAACGAATGTCTATTCTCGACGGGAACGAATCGACGTGCGTTCCGCGAGTCGATTCGACGTGCTCGTCTGGCGTGCACGCTTCCGGGATGTTGCCGAAGGATATCGCCTTCCATCCCAGCACTTTTTTATCTTCTTCGTACACGCGACACCTACGGGAACGAGCTTCCGGATGAAAGCGTGATCGCGTTTCTGCATCGAGCCGAGAAGATCCGCCGAGGTTATAAAAATACAGATAGACACGACGATGTGATCCTAGCTCGAAATAGACACGTCCGCATAGCTGGCCCCTCCCTCTACTTAATCAAAATTTAAGAAATAAATTCTATATTGATGTGCTATTTATGTGCTTTTGAAATCCACTGAAAGAAATTTTTTGTGAAGAAAGCTGAATTGATTGTCAGTGAATCTCTACATTATTAATAACAGCCTTTTCGAAAATCAAATGCACAAAATTTATACGTTATTTATGCAACTCTCATATAAAAGTAATTCTGATTTTTACGTTGCATTTTCTACAGGAATTTTCCTTTTGGAGAAAATAGTGATATTCTTTTCTAACAGTAAGTTAAAATGGCAAAATTATATTATTTAACTGTGTAAAATGTATATATCTTAGATCAATGCGGTATTATCTTTAGATAATTTTGATTTTTGCAATGTAACTTTTAAGCAACTTTTATTTTGACGGTAGACGGAACCTCGCTTAATTAATCCATAATTTAGAATTTAATAACTCGAATATATACAATATAGCTACGATTTATGCGCTATTTCCAGGCAATTTTAATTTTTGCGTTGCAATCCTTACTCATTTTCTTTGAGTATTTAAATGACATTTATAAAGAAGTAGAATTCTAAGTGATTTGATAATGCATTCCGAATTTTTTAAACAAAAAATAGCGCATAAAACATGTAAAAAGACATTTATTTTTTATATTATATTTATTATTCACAAATAGTAAAGAATTAATCACAAGTTATTAGTTTGAAAAATGTTTTTAATAATGTATTATGATTCAGTTTTATCAACTTTTGAATATGTTAGCATTGAAATGTCAATTCATGTGTCATTCTATAATTATGTTTATTATATGCAATTTACATAATATTGAAATTATTCGCTTTTATGAGGTTATATTCAGAAGGTATTATCTCAAAATTATATTTGCAGAGCTCTTTTAAAATAATTTATTCTTTATTTATATACCAATTAATTATTTTTATATTTGTATGTATATAATGTATAATTCACAAATTCTCAAATTTTTTAAAAATTAAATTGAAAAAGAAATGTCACAGATCAATCTTTTGCAACAAATTATGTATGCATATAATTCTTATCAGAGTTGGGTAAGTTAATTTTTTTTTTAACTTAAGTTAAATTAAAGTTAACTCTTAAGGCCTCAAAAATTTAACTTATAGATCAATTCTAAGCGGAATCGTAAGGTTCATAATTTGTTCTCGTAACACTTGTAAGAATTTATGATTGAAAACGCTTATAACTTTATGCAATATCTTTACAGACAACTTCTTGCTAGTCGTAAGATTTACGAGAAATCATAGATATTTATGAATAATCATACATCTTACGATCCGCGCGCATAGAATTACAATAACACTTATAAGTTCTTCTGAATTTTACGAGAACAACTTACGAACCTTACCAGTCTGTTCAGAATTGACCCATTAGTTAAGATACAAGTTATCCCATAATCAAATTTACTGAATTCTTCCCACGGCCAAACTATATTTATTAATAACTTGTCTTGATGTGTGTTCTCAAATTCGAATTTGAAGACACCATCTCAGATATGTATTTTTTCTTGGGTTTATAAAAGAAGCACTGAAGGTGCAACATCAATAAAGTTAAATTAAAACTTAATAGTTATCGATAAAATATGACTAAATTGATTTGAAAGTTTAGAGTCTAAAATATAACTAAGTTAAGATTATTTAACTTTTTAACTTTTTTAAATTTTTATTTTTTTAGTTAGGCACTACTCAACTCTGATTTTTACATATATACAAGAAAATTTAAATTGTACATATGTTAAAATATTTGTGAAATTTGTTTAATTTACCACCAAACCCACCAGGGTCGCTCAAGTGGTAGTAGTAGTAATAGTAGTAGGAGTAGTAGTAGTAGTGGTGGTATAAAACAAATCTGTTGTCTCCCGTATGCTTTGTACTTTCATTTTCATATAGTAGAAGTTTATTTCCTTTTCATCTAAAGTGCCAAGAAATAAACGCTGAAATCTATCTGTAACCATCAATAGCTCATCCGTATTGCGTGAATATTTCATCCCAGATATAGCTTGCAATTTTTTGGGATCTCGCACGAGTTCCACCTTAAAATCAATATTTTATTTTACAATTAAACTTGCACTAACAAAGATTAGATATAACAATCATTAATAGAATTCGAAATAATTTATCGATTGATATGTAAGGAATAATTGTGTCCGGATATCTCACCATGTCTTCAGGATTAAATTGTTTAGAAGAATCCACGCCTAAAATAGTCATATCTTCGATATTGTTTAAAAATAGTACATGTTCCATAGATGTTATTAGGCTTGTTTGGCTTTTTAATGTACCGGCAAGTTTTGTTTGATTATTAGCCGTATTTTTATCTGGACACTTTAGTACATCTTTTATTTTCATCTTATATATTTTCGTCGCCGCTAGAGGTGCATAGAAGAGTTCTGAAATATCCACGAAAAAGATATAAAATTTACAGGAAAGCCTTTTATGTTTTGTTATGCACGTAGCGTAATTATATAATTATTATATAAATTATAATTATTATATAATTATTATATATAAATATTAATAAGAGAGGTAAGAAAATTATGTACGCGAATCGAAATAGTACGAATATACAAGTGTTGGTTTAAACTTTAAAGTTAGACTTAAAATTTTTAATAGGTATCATGTGTAATGAATTCAAATATATACATAATAATTAAAATGATACTATAACAATAAATGTTAAAAAATAAATACTTGCCATCACCAATGATTGTCATACCGTAAATACCAGCCGGATAAGTTAAAGTTTCGTTTGCTATAGTGAAAACAGGATTGGTCGGTTTCATGTAATCAGATTCAACTCTGCACATAACCCTCCTAGACGCGTCATACACCACTAAACCGTTACCTTCTTTGTCGGATATAAATATCTGTATGCATTTATATATGTATATTAAATCGCTTAAAACACGCAGAATACGAAACGTATAACTAAATAATAGGTATTTGAACGAGTACTGTATAATAACTTCGTACTACTATGATCAAAATGAAACATATATGATTAAAAAAGAGATTGTACTAACAATCATTTCATTCAGGAACTGGCTGCATTTTCCGGGAATATGAACGAGAGGCATTGTTAAAACTCCGGAATTCGTTCTGTTAAAAGCGATATCACATGGAATGTAAAGCCTTTTAACTAGCTTATTAGTTTTTAAATCGAAGATCACTAGTTTTGGATTACAAATTTGTTGGGTCCCATTTCTGCCGGAATCCAGAACGAAGAGGTGATCGCATTCGATCTGAAAATAAAAGTGAAAATTCTATTTCATGTATTGTCGAGCTGACTATTGTGCATAATATATAATTAATATGTTGGTCATTTTTATATTTAAATAGAAGATGTGATAACCGTTTGGATGAAAAATATTAATATTACTTACCTGCGTGTAGTAAACACTTATCAAACCAGGGCACGGACAGTTTGTATTATTATGACAACTCCAATCTGGATACGGACGTAGACGTGGTCCTCTTGTACATGTCTCATTAGATACTGTTACTAAGGTAGCAGGAGTACCAGGACCCATTTCTCGCGGCAGAGTAATGAATATTCTTCCATCTATAAAAGTTTTCTCTATGAATGTAACTTACGTGCTACTAAAATACATATTCATTTCGCGAATTTCATGGCAGTATCAATGCTATCCGCGTTTCATTAACAATATCAAAATTTATATAATAAAACATATAGATTATAATGATTGTATTAATTAATTACCATAACTGTAAGTTTTCGCTAATAAGTATTTATATTCATTTCTGTACAAAATCATTACAACTTTTTCAAATAATTAACTTACCGTCTGCTTTTGTTACATCGTACAACAAGCACTTTTTAGGTTGGTAATTGTTATCACGTATCGCGGTTTCTAACTGCTGCCAGTTGTCCCATTGATATTCAGCAAGCTTCCATTCAAATTCAACATTCAAGTCGATTCCAAAGCTCACAATCGCCATCGACAGAATTAGCAGGGTAATCAAAAAATGCCCCATTTTTTTTACCGTAGCGGACGGCTTACAGACAATAATGTTGTGTCGCCTGGGATACAAAATAGGATTCTCCACCGGAATACGAGTTTATCTTGAGAGTTGGAATCCGGAAACTTACCAAGTTCCAAGAGGGAATGCTTCTTCGGCCCTTTAATAAATATTGATTGAAAAGTTATTCTATTAATAGAGTTGTTTTACCTTCGCTACAACTACATCGGTCTTTTTATATAGTCATATACATTCAGTTTATCAAATTCTATACAATTATAATTTAGTCCTTAAATTTTGGTAAAGAGAGAGTGGAAGCTACGCAGACGTGAAATAGTCAACGACTGTGTACAAGCATGCATTATTCATTTCTGCTAATCTGAAATCAATAAAACAAGAAGAAAGATTTATGATTAAGGAAGCAGAATCCTTTGACATTTCTCGGCATATCTAATTTATGGCATGTGATCGACATTCCTTCGTGTAAATTACATTCTACCGTGTGAGCGGTCGATATTAAGTGATATTAAACTACTAACGTGCACTAGACTTGCACTTGAGCTGAAAATAATAAAATAATGGACGGATTCGGTCCGAGAGTAGCGCAAAAGTAGTAACCGCGGCTCGTAAAATTTCGTTTCCTCAACAGCATTGTACCGCTAATTACTAGGAAATCCGGGATGCTGCTTTGCAGGTAAACCCGGCAAAAAGCCGCGCTCGCGCGAAAGCAAGCAACGAGACTAGAAAACATCCACGATGACCAATTCGCTCGCGTATGTCGGCCACGCCATTGTTGCACGGCTATTCGCATCGCGGAAACACTGTGCGGAAAGGGGGAAACGGAGGGAATTAGCTGTAAATCAATCCTTGCGGTCGTTAACGCGAATTCCACGATTTTAATGAGTAAAACGAAATGTGTGCAACGTCCGTACTTATAATTGCGTTTCTGCTGGAGAATACCTCATCTGAAAATACCTCGGTCTCGAGATTAATTTAATTTAATAAATGGATCATCTGAGAATCAGTTTGACTGTTCGTAGCTTTGTATTTGTAGTCGCTATTCAATTAAGAAACTCAGGTGAAATTTTACTTATAGTGACAGACATTTAAATTTTGTTTTTTGCGATACAGAAAAAAATTAAGTTTTTTTTTATTGAATAAAGTTTCAAATCTTGAGAAGATTTGACAGATAAATATTTAGACAGATACAATATTCAGATAATTACATTAAAAGATAATTAAATTAAATTATTCGAGCACGAACAAACATGAATAAACATCTTGTTTTAAATTGGAAATGGTCATTTAGTTTTCTATTACGTAAATGATCATCTGGACTGATTTTAAATTCCAATTAAAAGTTTGTTAATTATATATTGTATGTTGTTGATTGTTATACAATTTATTAGTATTTCAGATTATTATAAATATAGATTTATATTTAATTTTTTTTTTAAACGTAAGAAATTTAGAAAAAAAAGTATAGATTCTTGAATCAGTAAAGAAAACTACTGTGACTGAGCTTTATTTTCTCGTTGCTGGATTAAATCACTCATGGTGACTGTTCTTGGTTAAATGCGAATGCCAATACTTGTGACTCATTTAAGTAAGTTTCCCATTCGTATTTGTTCGCGCTCATTTGCTTGGTCTAGATCCGGCTTACATTTGAATATTTTGTATCAGCTGGAGCGTTTATTTTTATCGTACTGGGTCGGATACATGTTTATATTATAATTATAACGTTAAATATTTTGTGGTAACCGCCGCGTGTTGTTTGCAACCTACAGCGCGACTGTACACGTAGTCGTCTTTGTCATTTGTAGTTGTGATTGAGTTTTTATAGCATTATTATCTTTTCAATCGCCGCACCATGAACACCGATCATGACAGACGACTCGTCTGGCCGTGATTTTCGTGGCGTTGAGCGAATGATACTTCGTACGATCGTAGTTTTCGTTGCGATGTAATAAATTTGGAAGTACCGTGAGAAATACTTCACGATTGTTTTGTTTGATCGATTATAAGATTGAGCGATCGTAATTAATTTTATTTTCGCAAATGGATGTGTTGTATGAATGTAACACAATTAGAGGGGTGAAGGAGGGAGAGGAAGAGAACCGGGAAGGAATCATACGACAGACCAATGTATCGGTGAATCTATCATTTTCTATTAAAGTAATGGATCTGTAAAAAGTAAATTGTAATATATATATATTATGATATATGTATCTATATACGTGTATTTCTTTAAATTAACATCAACATAAAAGTATACATAATTATGTAAATATAACATCTCCTAGATCCGTTGCTTTAATATGGATGAACTAGAATGGAATCTGCATTTCTTAATATACAATCCAATGGTTTATTTAAACGCGCGTATAGCTTACAAATTTATTATCAAAGCTTGTTATATTTTTGTTATATCAAGGAATCATTTATTGGCACATTGTCTTGTATGATAGGCCACTAATTTAAATTGCAAGATGCACTTTAATAATCTTTCTTAGTCGATCCATTTATATTTATTGATAACTAATTTTCATATTATTTAAAAAAATGAAATGAGACGTTATACATATTTATAATATTGCGAAGTGTTTCGTAGCAATAACTTTATTTATAGTTAGGTCAAATCATTATTCCGTTTTTTAATAAGGACTGTCTAATTAAAATATAATTATTAACCGTTCGCGATGTCAGATTCTGAAAGATTTTGAATCTCTGAAAAGTGAAACGACATACGCTTTTGAAACGAGTTTATAACCACAGATCCGTGCCTTCGACTCCCCTCAAATTCGCTCATGGCGTGACTGCTGCACGAATTATAATATATATATAGCTGCAGCGTGGAGTCGCGTCTTCGCGCTCGAGCGCCCAAGCGGATCAACATTACGACGGATCAACGGAGCGTTATCGATCACTCGCGAATCCTCGTGTAGCCGTGATCGTCTAGTGGTTAGGACCCTACGTTGTGGCCGTAGTAACCCAGGTTCGAATCCTGGTCACGGCAATGTCTCGAATGCATGTCGCAAACGGGGGGGGGGGAGGAGGATTTCTTTTTATTATTCTTGTTAACAGCTGATACTATATCTTAAAGCGTGACTATTCCCCGGGCAACTTATTTCAAACAGGCTAGAAAA